AAATTTCTGTATTTAGATCTTTGTTTTGGCAACTGATAAAATCTGATATTACCTTCAATAAAACCAAAAGCGTGAGAAACAAAGTTAAAAATGTGACACTGGTGTAAATCCTGCTGAACATGAAGCAGTGTTGTTATTATTGTTGTTTTTTAATGTTCTTTTTTTGTATATACAGTATGAAACTATCCAGGAAAGGCCTGTACGAACCTACTCACAAAATGTTTTGTAGTTTTTCAGACTGGGAGCAAAATGTATTTTTATGTGACTTCTTTTCAGGGTTGTGGAGATTTTGATGTAACATACCCTTTTGTAACTCTGTGAGCCTTTTTGTTGATTTGTTGATACAACAGCTCATATTTACATGCATGAAATGTCCCTTTCATGTCACCTTAACTGCTGTGAATATTGTATATACTGTACTTGGAAAATCAAGCTACTGAGGGACAAAATGGGGAGAATGTGTGTTCTGAGTAAACAATAAATGTTAGGAGTGTGGTTTTTGTGTTCATGTCTTTCCTGTTTAAGTCTGTTTTAGGTTCTGTGTTTCTCTGTGTAGTCTTGTTCAGTTAGTTCCTAGTCCTATACATTAGTTAATATCTTTTGTGTTTACTCCTGGTCTTGTGTTCCCGGTTTTGTCTTGTGTCTTCCCTTGTTCATTTACTGGTTCTGTTTAGCTCGTACTTGTGCATTTTTGGTTATTCACCCATGTCTGCTTGTCTAAGTGTTCTCTCTGTTACCCCCTGTTGTCTCTGCCTGCCTGCATCTCTGTTTTCCTGCTGTCTCTCTGCCTCCCTCGCACCAGCTCCTCGTGTCTCGTCCGTGGTCCTCAGCCCAGCTGTCTCGTCCGTGGTCCTCAGCCCAGCTGTCTCGTCCGTGGTCCTCAGAGTTCAGGAGGTCACCCCCCCGGACGACCTCCTGAACTCTGTGGACCCTCTGAACTCTGTTTTCCCTCTGCTCTACACGGCCGTCTGGGTCGCCCTCCGGGACGACCTCCTGAACTGTTTTGTCCCCCTGGCCTGCTCAGACGACCTTCCAAACTCTGTTCTCCCCCTGCTCTGCCTTCAGGCCGCCCGCCTGAGGACACACCACCACTAACCGTAACAATAAAAGTGATGTCCAGTACCTTGTTTGAGTGCCTTGACCCATTTATTTACAGTGTAGTTATGCTCACTTTCATACAGCTCAGTCCATAGATCTCTAATGGGTATGTTTTTCTTTCTATAGTTTATTCCAGAGATGCTCACAAGTCAAGTCTCTCGTGGTTATTATGAATGTTGTAACACCTGCTGCGTTCAATCCAGGTTGCTAATAAAACTGCATAGCTATAAGGAATTCTATAACTGTAACCTGTTTTTTCATTTACAGAGCACAACCATGTAACGTGCAATGCAATTATTGATGGCTTATTAAATGCTGTAAGTCAAAACACTCCCCAGACTCTTAAACCCAGTGTAGCATTAACTAAATAAAACTGTGACGTTGCATAATCAACAACAAACCTGTAACCTGTTTTTAATTTACAGAGAACAAACCACGTAGCCTAATGTACAATGCGTCTACAGTCAATGACAGCTTAAACTATTGCAAGTCAACACATCCTGCAGACTCACAAACCAGTGTAACGTTATAACTAAATAAAAGTAAGGTTACCTGATTAACAATAAACCTGTAACCTCTTTCCAACCAACGGCAATAATTAAGGTGATGGCAGACCTAAATAATTATGTTAATCGACTACCACAAGTAAACAAACGCTCATTCATCTTTGCATAACGAACAACAGTCAGAGTGAACCTCTCGTAGCTGAAGCAAGGTAACGTTAGATGGCCGATGCTGAGCTAAACATGTTTACTCACCACAGGTTTCTAACCTATTTTGCGTTCAGCGCGTCTTTGTTTGGGTCTTGTTGTATGAAGTTTTAAAGCCAAAGTTTATGATGAATGACTCAGCAGCTGCCGGTGTTTGTTGTCCTCTCTCACGTGCGGCCGGGCAGCAGATGCTACGTGTTACGTAGGCAGGTTATAGGTAACGGAGGGAGGGGAATAACAGCAAGCTCATCAGACGTTTCTTAAAAAATAAACATTGTTCACGAGTCCCGCACCTCGAGTCCGAGTCGAGTCTAAAGTCTTTTTAGGACGAGTCTCAAGTTGAGTCTCAAGTTGAGTCTGAAGTCACTGTGTTCGCGACTTACAGTGGGGGAAATAAGTATTTGACCCCTTGCTGATTTTGCAGGTTTGCCCACTTACAAAGAATGCAACGATCTACAATTTTAATCATATGTACATTCTAACAGTGAAAGACAGAATCCCAAAGAAAATTCCAGAAAATCACATCATATGAATTTATAAAAATTGATAACCATCTGATGAGGAAAAACAAGTATATGACCCCCTACCAAACAGCAAGTATTCTGGCTCCTACAAGCCAGTTAGTCTTTCTTTAAGACACAGCCCCAATCCCAACCAATTATCTACATCAAATACACCTGCCTCACCTCGTTACCTGTATAAAAGACACCTGTCAACACCCAAACAACCAGCATCCAACATCAGCACCATGGGCAAGACCAAAGAGCTTTCTACGGACATCAGGGACAAGATTGTTGATCTGCACAAGGCTGGGATGGGCTACAAGAGAATCGGAAAGCAACTTGGAGAGAAAAGATCAACTGTCGGTGCAGTTATCAGGAAATGGAAGAAGCACCACACCACCGACAACCTCCCTCGGTCTGGGCCTCCACACAAGATCTCGCCTCGTGGGGTGTCCTTGATCATGCGAATGGTGAGGAATCATCCCAAAACCACAAGGGGGGAACTGATGAATCAACTGAAGGCAGCTGGGACCACAGTTACAAAAGAAACGGTTGGTAACACACTACGCCGTCATGGATTGAAATCCTGCAGCGCACGCAAGGTCCCCCTGCTCAAGAAGAAACATGTACAGGCCCGCATGAAGTTCGCCATTCACCACCTGGACGACTCAGAAGAGGCCTGGACGAAGGTGATGTGGTCAGATGAGACCAAAATAGAACTTTTTGGCCTCAACGCAACTCGTCGTGTTTGGAGGGCAAAGAACACCGAGTACAACCCAAAGAACACCATCCCCACCGTCAAGCATGGTGGTGGCAACATCATGCTTTGGGGGTGCTTTTCAGCCAAGGGGACGGGACAACTCCATCGTATTGAGGGGAGGATGGACGGGGCCATGTATCGTGGAATTCTGGACCAACATCTCCTTCCCTCAGTGAGAGAGCTGAAGATGGGTCGAGGATGGGTGTTTCAGCACGACAACGACCCTAAGCACACCGCCAAAGCAACAAAAGAGTGGCTGAAGAAGAAGCACATCAAGGTTCTGGAGTGGCCTAGCCAGTCTCCAGACCTGAATCCAATTGAAAATCTTTGGAGGGAGCTTAAAATTCGAGTTGCCAGGTGACAACCTCGGAACCTGAATGATTTGGAGGCTGTCTGCAGGGAGGAGTGGGCCAACATCCCTGCCGAAATGTGCACAAACCTTGTCACCAACTATAAAAACCGTTTGACATCTGTGCTGGCCAATAATGGCTTTTCTACAAAATATTAACATGCTGTTTGTCCAGGGGGTCAAATACTTGTTTTTCCTCATCAGATGGTTATCAATTTTTATAAATTCATATGATGTGATTTTCTGGAATTTTCTTTGGGATTCTGTCTTTCACTGTTAGAATGTACATATGATTAAAATTGTAGATTGTTGCATTCTTTGTAAGTGGGCAAACCTGCAAAATCAGCAAGGGGTCAAATACTTATTTCCCCCACTGTAAGTCACACTCGAGTCCGAGTCTCTAACTCGAGTCCCCATCTCTGGTTTCTTCTTGTGCAAATGCTGCAATGCTGTCTTTCTGTCAAAAACAATCTCACACTGCGACTCAGCACCTGTGTCTTACCTTAATGCCTTTCCTGTGATAATGCCCCACCTGAAGTAGTGTTATCATACTTCTATCTCCTATTAAGTGAGATCACATTGTATGATCACTTATTCCTAATATGAACAGTTTGACATGAAACCTCAAATGCAAGACATTGATTGCATGATATTAAGTTTGTCTGTGTCTGAGTCCCTAAATTGCAGCCTGTGCCCTTTTGTAGTGTGTACATACTATTTCTCATCAAACTGTGATAACTGTGATTAAATTCAGTATATATACACATCTGCCATATGTTACCATCCCTCAAAAATTCCTGCCACCCTCTCGCCACCCCATAAATATTTTTCTAGATCCACCTCTGTTTGCAATGTATCTGTCGTCCTTCTCCACCTTCCTGGACTTTTTGTTGTACACCTTGCTGTACCTGATAATACAGAAAGAGCAGGGGCGGATTGGCCACCCGGAAATTCTGGCATATGCCAGAGGAAATAGGTAGGGCAAGCTGCTTTGTTTGCAGCAGAGGTGTATGTTCCGTGCTTGTGTGGAAATATTAGAAGTGAAGGCAAAGAGAGCAGAATTAAAGCTATACCTACTGTGTGTAGGAGCTGCTGAGGTGTCATGTGAAGCATATGTAGGCTATAGGGTGACATGGCAAGTGTTTGTGTTGGCTGTGGGAGACATTTTGAGAGCTGTTATAAATCAGCTTCCATTCAAAGTCAAGTCTCCCTGCCTGTAAACCTTTCCTCTTTAGTGAACATTTACTATACTTTAACTTACTTACACCCACGAATGAAAGAACTGATCAAGCACATTTAATTGAAATTAACTGACATCCCGACAAAATATTGTTACTATAAAATACAAGTGATAAGTTTGCTAAACACATTATTTTTTAATGTCGACCAAAGGATTTAATAATTTAATAAGTTACTTTGATAAGGACAATGGATATTGATAACATTTCTGAAAATATGCCAGAGTTAGCCAAAAAGGCTTATTTTCAGCTGTCCCCAGTTAAAAAATACCATACCAATTCCAATGTACAATAAAGACATGAATGACAAGCATGTGGGTAGAGAAAAGCAAGAATAATCAATAACTGAAATAAAACTTTATTATCTCCTTTTAGTTCATGTTTGACAGGGTTCCCATGAGGTGACAGGACACACAACCTTGTGGATATTAATTTATTTAGGGGAAAGAAGGGGTTGAGGGACTGAAGTTGAGGGGAGAGGTGGAAGCCGGGGAGACGCCGGCACGGGTAACCGAGGAGACTGAGACCAGAGGGCCGGGGGGCACTGGGGGCCGAGGAAGAGACGAGGCACGGGAGAACTGGGAGGATGCCGTGGGGAAAGTCCGAGGGGAGAGGGCAGGTGAGCGAGCCCAGCCGACTTGACAGAGGACGAGGGTGAGTGAACCTGGGGAGAGACAGACAGACAAACAAGGTTAGTGGCTCTGGAAAAACCAAGGACAGTGAGACAGATCATGCAGGTTATGTGATAACTTGAGAGATCAAGCGGCACCGGGTTAGGAGCAACGACGATCAAGCAGCAATGCAGTGGAGAACCAGGGCAGAAGTACTGTTGGAGATGAGGCTGATTGCTGGCAGGTGTGGCAGGCAGAGGAGGTGGCTGATGAGGTGCAGGTGCAGGTCGTTAGCTGGGCTCAGGAGTGGAGGGAGAGAGAGAGGGGGAGAGGGAGAGAGCACACGCAGGGGAGGAGACACAGGGAGACAGGCAGAGTACAGGAAAACTCCAGGGAAAACAGAATCACAGATAAAACAGGAGAAATAACCAGGACACTCACCGTCAGCCGGGCTGCCACCACAACAGGGCCCCCTCCTCAATGGACGCCTCCAGGCGGACCTCCCAGTTGGCTGGGAAGAAGTCCAGGGGGGGGATCCGGTTGGCGGGGGTCCAGGGTCCAAAAGAAACGAGACACAGAGAGGGGGACAGAGCTGGGAAGGGTCAGGCGAACAGGCAGGGCAGAACTGAGGGAACAGGGCCAGACGGGATGCTGGATGGCAGAGCTGCTGGACCAGGGAGTTCAGGGGGGTGTCCCAAGAGCGGAGCAGAGAGACCAGGGAGTTCAGGGGGGTGTCCCGAGGGCGGAGCAGAGGGACCAGGGGTTCGGGCGGGCGTCCCGAGAGCGGAGCAGAGAGACCAGGGAGTTCAGGGGGTGTCCCGAGGGCGGAGCAGAGGGACCAGGGGGTTCGGGCGGGCGTCCCGAGAGCGGAGCAGAGAGACCAGGGAGTTCAGGGGGGTGTCCCGAGGGCGGAGCAGAGGGACCAGGGGGTTCGGGCGGGCGTCCCGAGAGCGGAGCAGAGAGACCAGGGAGTTCAGAGGGGTGTCCCGAGGGCGGAGCAGAGGGACCAGGGGGTTCGGGCGGGCGACCCGAGAGCGGAGCAGAGAGACCAGGGAGTTCAGAGGGGTGTCCCGAGGGCGGAGCAGAGGGACCAGGGGGTTCGGGCGGGCGTCCCGAGGGCGGAGCAGAGGGACCAGGGGGTTCAGGGGGGTGTCCCGAGGGCGGAGCAGAGGGACCAGGGGGTTCAGGGGGGCGACCTGAGCAACAGTTTTGATGGTTTATTGCATTAAAATATAGCTTTTTAAAAATATCATATTTTTTTCTGTATTTCATCTCCATGTAGTCTGTAATGGTAAAATAAATATGTTAATGTACAATGGGGATTTATATTCCTTAGCTTCTGACCTTTCAAAGGAGACCAGAATTATGCATTTAGGCCAAATGATTGAAGAGTTATTCCTGATTCATTTTGGGTTTGTTATTTTAAGTGTGTTTCCTGGAAAAGGGTGTTTGTTTTAAACAGGTGAATGTTAGTTTTTCTAGACCGGTTGTTATTGATCACCTGATTCTGAGGAATTGGTGAATAATGCTAATGTTAAAAAAACACATGAAGTCATACGATTTGCAGTCATGCTTGTCTGACGAGATATAAGGCCAGCACTAAATGAACGTGTTTAAGAAGCCACAGTTTCCCTTCAGGTTTCTCTAACGGCAGATTCTGTCATTTTAGCTCTTCAAAGGGTAAGAATCATCAGTCATTTTATTTATTTTTTATCTTAGACTAAAATTCAAACGTGCAAATAATAACATATAATTCAGTTAAAAGAAAACAATCTAGGTTTTAATAGCAAATATGTACATTTAAGGAATTTACAGAATGTGTAAAACATTCTGTAAACATTTTCTCAAAACTGAGTTACACTCACAATCACATGATTGTGTTTTTCTTGAGAGTTTCTTCAGGTTTTCTTTTGTTAAATAAATTCTGTACATGTTTGAATAATATGATCATCAAATTACATTGAATTCAAAAGTAAATGTCTTTGACAAATTGACACAGTTTTGTCAGACAGAGAAGTCACGATGTTCCAGGATTAAAACCTGCTGTCTATTGTGTATATTTCTCTTCTTCATCCCCTTCATGTCACCGAAGAGGGAAAGAAGACGTAATAGTCTTAATAACTGAGATGGATCTGCAAGAGCCAAAATGGAAATTCTGTGAGTATTTTCTAGCAAAATTAATATTGAAGGAACACTTAAACTTTTACTGTCTTTGAAACACTTTGTTCTGTAAACACTTTTGGCAACCTGATCTGGCTGGTAGTAAATAGTGTTGAGTTCTGTCAAGTACAGTTAAGTGACTCTGTTGTAGCGGCTCAACTAGATTTTGGCTCTACAACTTTGCTTCAGGGGAAAAAGCAACTACAGTGAATCAGTAAAGATTAAAAATAATTTGATTAAAGTTGGATCGTGTGTGTTTGTTTGTGTGTGTGTGTGTGTGTGTGTGTGTGTGTGTGTGTGTGTGTGTGTGTGTGTGTGTGTGTGTGTGTGTGTGTGTGTTTTCCAGTTGCTGTCAGTGTGCTGCTGCTCACACTGTACCCCAGTGACACTTCTGCAAACAACCTGAAGCAACAACTAGCTGATTGTCTGAAAGATAATGACTACGATGTGCTGCTGCAGACTGTGCAGACGGGCCTTCCAAAAACTAAAACACCTCATCATGTTGTTATTGTTGGAGCTGGAATGGCTGGACTGACAGCTGCCAAGTTACTGCAAGACGCCGGACACACGGTACATACACACACATACACAGATAATATTTCTACCAAAATATTTGGGGGTTTGGGGTCCTGCAGATTAACCCAATATGGAGTCTAGGGGGAATAAATTACATGCAGGGCTCCTTTTAACCTCTCCCTAACCCCTGTAACCACACTGGTTTGTGATAATTTGAAGGCCATTGGGAATTTTGGACAGGGGGACAACATTTTCCAAACAATTTCAAAGAAGCTCTTGGCCAATTTGAATACACATTAAATGTGTATAAAAATATTTTATCATGTATTTGTCTTTGTTTGGGGAAATAACCTCTGATATTAAATAATTTTAATTCAATTAGAAACTCCATCACTTTAACTCGTGTGTTTCAGCAGGTTTCTGCTCATTTAGAATCTCTGACAGGTCCAGAAAAAAGTTGTACGAGAATAACGTCATGATTTAATGAGAATTCATAATATTTTTAAACAGTCTACCTGCCCTATGCTGTGCACAAGCCTGCATTATTGCTCTGCTGATTTGGCCCGTGCAGACCGTTTGCAGACACAGAAACGTTTGGGACTGTACTACTGGATGAGAGGAGGAGGTGGATAAACTAAACCTACTGAAAACACTTCTGATCAGGCAGAAATATCACCACAAATCCACACAAATGTTCACTTCAGCCACTCAGATAAAGTGCAGCTCAAGGTCCCAAACAGAGGAGGTCTACTCCTCAGATTTTAGATGTTTATTTTGCAAAACCCTTTCAGTTAGTTACTGCATGAGAGGCACTCTCAACGTCTGAGAGTTGGCAGCTCTGGTGTTACTTTATTTAAAGGTTTATTATTTAAAGCAAAGTTTTGCTAGTCTCCCTGCTCCTCACCTTTACCAGTCAGACATACATGGTGCTTGTGAACACATTGTTGGCCAGAGATTTGGCCATTGCCTCCCTATGCTTTTATTTTTCTCTGTTTGTTTCAGCTGCTCTTTTCTGGGCCCCTGACAGCCTGCAGCGTTCGCTTAAAGCGACTCGCTTTACATTTACGGGTCCTGCACATCTGAACTGCCAAATGTTTCGACCGTACCATTTTCACAATAACAGCAGGGAGCGGATTATCAGATGACAAGTTTGAAATGTGTTTTAATGATAATAATACATTTATTTATCATGTAAATACATATAAAAAGTTGTATTATTTATAAAAGACAATAAGTCTAACTTGATCCCATTTATGGGTTAACCATAGACTTTTGCATGGGCCCCCTCTAGGCCTCGGGCCGGGGTCATCTGTACTCTTTGACCCACCCTGATGGCGGGCCTAATCATTTGCAATAATTTTGACACAGGAGCCATGTTAAGGGCCCTGCCATTCATTTATAATAATAATAATAATATCATAATAAATCAAATTACCACAAACTAATTCACGGCCTTTGGAGCCGTTACACATGTAGCTTTTTAAATCAGGGACATCTAACTTTTTTGAAAACAAATTATGGGTAATTATTTTTAATAGTAGTAACAAAGGTAGCAAGAATAGTTAGAATAGTGACAGCAAACGTTTTACAGCAGCAGAAGCAATACTAGTAGTAGCAGTATTTGCCATAGTAAAAACTGCATTATTAGTACCAGCAGCAGTAGTTGTGGCAGTTTAGTAGAATAGTAGTAGTAGCAGCAGTGGTAGTACAAGTAGTATAACAATGGCAGATTCAACAACAGCATTATTACTTCTAGTAGTAGTTTCAGCATCAAATGTAGTAGTAGCATTAACAGTAGTGTTGGAATCAGCATAGGGTGACCAGACGTCTCTGTTTTGAACTGTGTGTTAATCATAGACTTTATAAGGTGTTAACAGACATGAAATCAGATTTTACGTGGTTAGAAAGAATGGACAGCAGAGCACACAAGTGTTGTGCCGAAAGGTGATTGCCATCCGTGTGAGCGTGCGCAGCATCTAATGTTGTCGCCCAGCCGGTTTTCATTTCAGAAATGTGGTCACCTTGAATCAGCAGCAATATTAGCAGTAGAATTATTTTCAGTACTGGTAGCAGAAGTTGTTAGTAGTTGTAGTAAGACTAGTAATAGTAGCGATAGTTATTGTGGTAGTACCAGAAGCAGTAGGAAAAGCAAAAGCGGTAGTATAACCACACCTAGTATCTTTGAAACATTACTTGACCTGCCTCATTTGTAATATCTGTTTATATTTACCTGTACTGACAAGGTAACGATATTGGAGGCTAGCGGCCGTGTTGGAGGACGGGTGGAGACCTACAGGAATGAAGAAGAGGGCTGGTATGCTGAACTGGGAGCCATGAGGATCCCAAGTTTTCACAAGTGAGTTAATGTATTTTTTTTAAATTGAGCATTTAAATATATAAATACGTATGCAACCTTTCCCCATCTCAGACCAACATGACTGTGTAAAAGAGAAGCTTTTGAAGCTACATTGAAAAGTGTACAAATTGGCATTCCAGCTTTTTATGAGGTTGATTTGCAAAGATACCATCCAAACATGGATACTAGCAATTTATTTTTACATTAAAGGTAAGCTGAAAATGGAGCTTGATAGAATCCAGAAGAGGTCGTCGCCGTTGTGTTTGTTACTTAACTAAAAGATCACAAAGGGATGTAGAAATGTAGCCGCTAAGCATCAGAAGAAGCTTTTTCATTTACTGTCTTGGCTCAAACACAGTACAAAACACTTGCAGTCACCAGCTGACTCTGCCACCATCACCTCTGTCAACAGGATCGTCCTCACGGTTGCTAAAGATCTGGGGGTCAATCTTACTGACTTCATCATGGATAACGATAACACCTTTTATCTGGTTAACGGGTTGCTGGAGAAAACATCCACAGTGAAAAAAACCCCTGATATCCTGAAATACAATGTGAGCCCAAGTGAGAAAGGGAAGTCAGCTGAAGAGCTGCTACAGCAAACATTGCAGGAGGTATGTAATAATCACGGTCAGTGATGAATAATTATGAACAGCATACTTGCCAACTTCAAGACATAATTGCCTAAACTGGGTGATGAAACTTAACCACTGTTCCCTTCAGAAAACCTGTCATCCCAGAGACGGTTTTCTTGCATTCTAGTGAGTCATTGTTAAAAAGCAAGAGCGCAGGTTTAGCTTCAACATTTGAGGGGTCACACATTAAGTGGGGGGTCTGGGCCTCCTCCTCCTGAAAATGTTGATCCTTAAACACTGTGATGGCAATTTGAGTTTTCAAATAAACAGCTCAGGCAAACACGTGAGTAAGGAGAGCTTCAGCATCAAGCATATCTTCCCACAGAGACACGTTGTCCCTGAGTCCAGGATTACATGCAATATGTTTGGAGATGATAATTATGGAATTCGCATTACAACACTTAATTTCCTGCATTCTTATATGCTGGTTATATGCAGTTTAGATGCTAACTGCTCAGCAGTAACATTTAGCATGTGACAGATAGAAATGGCACCATTAACCCCCTACTAACAATAGTTCTCTACCATATTTCATTGCAGGTAATTCAATACTTACTCTGGACCAAAATGTTGAATTTAACATGCATCAATTCTCTCAAGTCTTCCTATTCTTTATTGTAGGTGAAAGACTATGTGGTAACTAAAGGCTGCGAGGAATACCTGAGAAAATACGACCATTATTCTGTGAAGGTAAAACACGGCATGATCTCATTGAGTGTGTAAATAAGAAAACTGTGTGTTGAGAATGACTTGGCTTTCTTTTAGTGCAAGTGCCCTTTCCAAATGTTTGCCATACAGTCAACTAATAGTTAACTTGAATAAGAAAACACCTTTGGTTGAGCTTAACGTTCTATTCGAAAAACAGGTTGTCCTACATGTTAATCTTTGACTATGGCGAGTCACATGCGGTGACCTGATAAAGTAACCGAATCAATACTTGAATAAAAAACCTTCAAACATTTTCACTGCCACTGCACCACCCAGTCTTATGAGTGTGCAGAATTAGTCCCCTGGTTTTAAACCTTCACACTTTTTGCTGTCACACTGTAGCTCCGCTTTAATCTTGAGAAGCTGCAGAGCTGCAGTCACTATTCACTAGCCTCTGCTGTAACTTATACTGTGCATTTACAGCTAAACAATGGTGATAAATGATCAATTTTGGTTTTATTAACGCATTTTAAAAATTATTATTCAAGGCTTATATCTTTTCTCATTTGTATTTACAGCATTATATGTTAATTTTTCTATCATAATAGGCAGTATATTAACTTATTGGGAGAAAAACGTCAGTTATATGTAAAATCACATGTTGAGCACCCACCATATCACAAAAATGGTATGATTATCGTTTCATAATGCCGCTTCGAAGATTCAACAGTGAGATTGAAAGTCAAATCAGGGTCTATCCATGGAAGCATAGATGATTTTGGGTCAGCACTAAGGAATTTATAACTTATTTGATCAGTTCCCAGTCTGTGAGTGGCAGATTATCCTCTCTCATTGCAGTGGGCTGTGAGGGGAGTTTAAGTTGCTCTTTCTGGAACCGAGAACGCAGTGTTTCCCTCTTCTCTTTGTTAACAACTGTAACAAAGGTAGAGTTGTCAGTAAACCCACTTTCTGGACTACACCTGCATCGAGCGTCTTCGTCCTCAGAAGCAGCCGCCCGTCAGCAACAGTTCCTGGGGCTGAGAGGCTGACAGACAGCACAACCTGTTAATATCATTAGGTCTCCATACAAGGGTACAGCTTAGATTACATTCATCTGAAAATATAAAGACACTGAACATGTGGGGTGGCGATGGCGCAATGGATAAGACACATGCCTTTGGTGTGAGAGACCCAGGTTAAATCCCCCACTGTGACTCATCCACCAATGTGTCCCTGAGCAAGATACTTAACTCCTAGTTGCTCCAGAGGCGTGCGACCTCTGACATGTATAGCAATTGTAAGTCGCTTTGGATAAAAGTGTCAGCTGAAATAAATGAAAAAACAACACTGCTAATTTGTGAAAATCACACAGGGGTAAGAATCATAGTAAGATAGCTAACATTGTTTCACCTACTATTAAACGTGCAAGACATTTCCTCTTCCATGTAAATTTACTCATTTGGCAGTCAGTTTTGTCCCCACAAAAATTAAGAGAAAGTTTTCATGACAGAGATTTAATCCCCAGACCTGCTGTACGAAGAGCAATGACACTGCCACTGAGTGGGAATCAAACCCAGGTCTCCCACGTCAAAGGTATGATGCTTATCCACTGTGCTATGGACCCCTCAAAAATATATACATGCTCACTTTGCACATATATATACATACTTAATATCATGTTAATGTGAGACCTCAATATTAAATGTACATTTAACCTCACATTAAATGTTCAGTGTGTAAGTTTTATTGACATCTAGTGGTGAGGGTTGCGAATTGCAACAAACTGCTCACTTTGAGATAACAGAGAATAGCCAGTCAAGAATGAGATTTCTTTAATATATTAAGAAATTATATTTACATAACTGTTCAGTAAAATGCTTGTATAGCGCCTTTCTAGTCTTTTTGACCACTCAAAGCGCTTTTACACTACTTCTGCATTCACCAGTCACACACATTCATACACTGAGCCTAAGTGCTCAAACGGAAACTAACATTCACACTCACGCCAGGGATTGAACCGCCGACCTTCCGATTAACGGCGAACCCGCTCTACCTCCTGAGCCACCATATAGTATTGCGAATATTACATTATATTACATTTATTCAGTTAGCTAACACTTTTTTTTACAATTGCTATACATGTCAGAGGTCGCACACCTCTGGACCAATGAGGGGTTAAGTGTCTTGCTCAGGAACACAATGGTGGATGGGTCACAGTGGGGGATTGAACCTGGGTCTTCATGTGTCTTATCCATTGTTCCATCACCACCCCCCTATATTATTGTTGGTGAGCAGTTTTGGCGAGGGTCCACAATCACAGAGAGAATGAATGTTTTTCCTTGTCAATGTTTGTATAAACTTTATTTAATATGTGGTTTGTAATGGACTGTGGTGCAGAAACAGTGAGAGTGTTTCACACTCTTGTCTTACATTTTCCATGTTATCTGTCAGTGGCCAAATCACAGTAACATATGGTTTTACTGAATAATTAAGTAAATATCATTTCTTAATAAATATACCTAAAGAAACCTCATTTCTTGACTGCCCACTCTCTGCTGTCTCAGAAGACACACCTTTTGTGTATGTCAGTCACCGTAGCTTTAGATTTTACATAGAACTACCAGTTTTCCTCCATTAAGTTAATATACAGCCTATTACAATATACATTTCAACATTTAATGCTGTAAATAAACATGTAAAAAGAATAAAACTTTCAATAAATGTTTTAAAGTGCGTAAATAAATTCAAAATTGTAACCTAACCCTGGGTGTATGGAGGTAAATCGGTGCCAAAACCATTGAAAATGGACATACTAAAAATCACAAATAGATATTACAACTTGTAAACACAAAACATAATCTACAAATAGATTAAAATTCCGCTAACAAAGTCCTCATGATCCGCAAATGTAAAACAAGATCTATAAATAGATACAAAATCCTCTGTCTGTCTGTATGCAGCATTAGTAACTTGAATTTGATTCTGGAGGCCACGGGGAGCCAGTGGAGGTCACTGAGTAATGGAGTGACATGAGTATTTTTGGCCTGTACCAGAAGCTGGGTGGCGTACTGAGTGAGGTAGGGCCTGATTTTCCTTATGTTGTATAGAGCAAAACGGCATGGCCGGGAGACAGTAGCAACATGGTCTGAAAAGGACAGCTGGTCATCAATCATGACACCCAAGTTTCTCACCACCTTGGTTGGAGTGATGGTTGAGGAGTCAATTTGTAGTGTGATGTTATGGTGGATAGATTGCTTGGCTGGAATGACCAAGAGTTCAGTCTTAGAGAGGTTTAGTTGAAGGTGGCAAGCCTTCATCCATGCAGATATGTCCAAGAGACAGTCCGTGATCCGCACAGAGATGGTGGGATTACCTGGCGGGAAGGATAGGTAGAGTTGCGTATTGTTTGCGTAGCAGTGGTAAGAAAAGCTGTGCGAGCGAATGATCGGCCCCAGTGAGGTGGTGTAAATTGAGAAGAGAAGGGGCCCTAGCACTGAGCCTTGGGGCACCCCTGTGGAGAGGCAGTGGGAGGATAATTGTCCTTGCCACAAAACATTGTAGGAACGCCCCGAGAGGTAGGATTCGAACCACAGGAGTGCTTTACTGAGTTGCCCATGGCTGAGAGAGCGGATAGCAGGATCCTGTGGTTGATTGTGTCAAAGGCAGCTGATGTGTCAAGCAGGATAAGAACCGAGCATTGGGCTGCAGCTTTAGATGACCTTAGGTCTTCTGTTACAGATAGAAGAGCCGTTTCAGTAGAGTGGGCACTCTTAAAACCAGACTGGTATGGATCTAGGAGGTCATTCCGTAAGAGGAATTCTGAGACCTGTTTGAATACTGCCCGTTCAATAGTTTTGGATAAAAATGGTAGAAGAGACACTGGTCGATAGTTCTCAACTTGAGATGGGTCAAGTGAGGGCTTTTTGAGCAAGGGTGTAACCCGGGCCCTTTTGAAAGTGGTCGCGAAGGTTTCTGAAGCCAGAGAAGTATTTATCACATGAGTGATTGTTGGGACCACGGTAGGAGATATGGCTTGGAGAGATTCGTAGGAATCGGGTCCAGTGGGCATGTAGTTGGACGGCTACGGGTCAAGAGAGGAGTAAACAAGGAGAGTGAAGAACCACTGACCTGGGAGGGCAGAGGAAAAGATGTAGTAGGACTGCTACAATGGTTGAGTTTGAATGTTTCAGAGAATTGGCTAGTTATAGCCGCCACTTTGCCTGTGAAGAAGGCAGCAAAGGTATCAGCAGACAAGTTTGTGGGTGGTGGAGGTGGAGGAGGATTTAGTAGCGCTTTAAAAGTGGAAAATAATTTCCTTGAGTCAGTGGCACTGCTAATTCTGTCATTATAGAGGTTAAGGTTGGCAGGGTCTTTGGTTTTTCGCCATTTTCTTTCTACTTACTTACTGAGATCAGTACGGAGTCCATGGATGGTATCAGTTAGCCACGGGTGGGACTGGTTTGGGCGAGCAGGCTTGGTGGATAGAGGACACAGGCTATCCAGGCACGAACCTAGTGTAGAGCACAGAGATTGTATGGCATTATTGACCTCAAGTGAGGAAAATGTGTTGAGGGAAGGTAGAGCAGAAACTACCACTGAGGCAAAGTGAGCGGGAGACAGGTTGCGGCGGTGTGAGACCAATGGTGTTGGAAGAATGGGTTTTTCCTGTAGGCATACCGTGAACTGAATGAAATAGTGGTCAGACACATGTAGAGGTGTGACTGTTAGGCACTCTGTGGTACAGTTTCGAAATTGGATAAAGCCATCAAGTTCTTAAAAAAACTCCAGCACAGAGAAACAAAAACACACAACCACAGCAGTTTGGCAGGTCTGGATACGGATTGGGCGCCGGATTCTGCAGACAGAGGGGGAGGGGGACATGAGCACATCGCTTTCCAAAACACTAAGTTAGGAGGTTGTTTACCAGACAAAAGCTGCGATACAACAGCCCACTGTATTGATCAATAAAGAGTAAAAGTTCTGTTGCGTTCTACCTGTTATACATAAGAGCCGACTGACATTAAAATAATTCCAGATGGCTCGCTGACGCTCATCCAGTGTTCGTTGAAGAGACACTAATGTTTTAAGGATGAAACTGCTTCATGCAGTGTTTTTAATGTTTTAATGTATGTTTTGGACAGGGCACGACCTCTGTGTTAATTCGGCTCCCGGTAGAAACCTCCTGAACTATCTGACACTGAAGAATTCCTGAACTAAAAACACACTGAGCACCTAACCGGAGCTAAGGCTGTGGCAGCTCAGCTGTAAACACACACCAGAGACTAATGATAGCTGCACGCCGGTTACTACCCACGTTATTTCCAACACGGATTTGTTGTTCACTAAAGCACTTTCATGAAAAAATAATACACTCACATACAGACAGGGTAGCGCCCAACGAACCAGCTGAAATTCCAGTCACTGATAATAACTTAAATGGCAGCGTGACACTGAGGGGTCCTGCTAGTTAGCGTTAATGCTCTGTTTGGTGTGTCATTACATATTTGCCATGCCATAAAAATAAATGCTACGGGGAAACAGTGCCGTTTAGTTCCCAGTAATAAGGTCGAGATTTCGGCGGGGGTCCCGACGAACGTTTGTTTTTTCTGGTATGGCTCTATAGGTGCAAGAACTGCTAGCTAGCTAGCCCTTGATTTTAACCTTCGTTGGATAACTATGACCTGGATGACTGAGAATCTTCATAGACATCTGCTAGCTAGCTAGCTACCTGTGTGTGCTGTTGTTCATATGCTGTGATATTACGTTGGTTGGACAAGTTTTAGGCTAACTAAATGTCACATAATTACTTACCTGACAACCCAAGTTGTGAGCGTCGGTCGGTCCGTCTTTCCCCAGCGCTGCCCAGCTGCAGAGGCTCTGCCCGCCTGACAGCGCTGTGACACCGGCAACGGCAACTGGCAATGAGCCCAGCCCACCCATCCGAGAAGTGTCAACTCTTATTTTGAAAAGGGCTTATTGAAGGGACGTGACATCACATTGAAGAAAATGATTGGTTGACTAAACGTGCGGATCTTAGTCACACACTCGGCAGAAAGATAGTGCCAAAAAGATCTGTAGACGTGTGCAGAGGGATCTGTGAATGCCCTGGGATCTGCAAACACAGATTCAACATTTGCATGCTGAGCTTTGCACAGAATGTGTTAGAATGTCTTTTTACAGTGATTTGAAAATACAAGTTAGACTGTGTTTGTTTGCAAATTGTGAGGGGGACATTTGTAGAGTTTTTAATTGGAAAAACAAATATTTGTGGATCATAAAGAGTCTGTTTGTAGATTATGTTGTGTTTACAAGTTGTAATATCTATTTGTGACTTTTAGTCTGTCCATTTTCAATGGTTTTGGCACCGATTTACCTCCATATGGGTGCCCTTGTGTAGGTGTAGCGTGTATGTGTGTGGTGGCAGCAGAGGAAAACTTGCTGAAGAGACGGAGCCCCGGCTTCACTGGTGTTGTGCCGAGTTGTCCGCACCTCGCAGGACTTTCGGATAATTTATCACCGTTGATGAACCACACAAAGAGTATTATATCGGTTTTAAACAGCCGGCTACTTGAAATAGACCCGCGAGGGACCGCGACGTGCATGCAGTTGTTGGCAGCACAGCATGCACGCAAAACTCTGCAGAAGACTGGTGAATGGCAGGCGAGAGAGAGAGAGAGTTAGAGAAAAGGGTCTTCAAAAAGGAAATTTACAGTGTAAGTTGAATGAATAGTGATTGCAGCTTTTCAAGATTAAAGTGGAGCTACCGTATTCCCCCCCCCACCCCATCACATGCCCTTGAGTTTGCAATCGGCGTGCACAAAAACACATGATTCGACTATAGGCAGGACTTGACGATTCTAATTCGACTATGCACACAAGGCCTACTAATTCTAATCCACTCATGCTCATGATGTTCATGGAAAATCCTTTGCAAAAGTCTTTTAAATAAAATTCATCAAAGCATTTATTTTAACTTATCTATAAATAAGTTATGAACACGTTGATTTAATAGATTAATGACATTCACATACTGTTTTTTGGTGTTCTCACTGTCACACATTGTTGGCCTATGTTTATTATTGTTGTATCTGTGTATTTAGCTATGACAGTATGACCACTAGTCTGTTGTGATAGAGAGAGACTGAGTTCATCTGTTCATGCTGATTTTAATAGCAGAAAGGTAATTATAATGTCCATTGGTATCAATCTTAATATAACAGAAAACATGTTGGGTTTGTTTGTTGTTTTTTTTGTGAACAATTTTTATTTGGTTTCATATTAACAGACAGAAAAAAGGAGAAAAGAACAAAAGAAACAAAAAAAAAGAAGGAAAGAAAGGCATATACATGTACAGAAATACAATACACACACCCTCATTCCCTCACACACTGGCACACTACGCCACCATTTATACTGTCCTTCCACTGAGCCCACCCACTCCTGTCAAATAACACATTATTGTTTTATAATAATAGATTTTATTTATCGAGCACTGTTGAAAATCCATGTTACAAAGTGCATCACATTACACATTTGAAAAACCATCAGATCAGTTAAAAGGTAAATTAAAGTAAAATATAATCAGGAAAGGTTTATTGATAAAAGTATGTTTTAAGAATGGACTTAAAGCAGTTCGATGAGTCAGCTGACCTTTTAATTCATTTTAATCCCTTTTTCTGACTGCATGACTTTAACAGGAGTATCTGAAAGAAGTAGGAAATCTGAGTTCAGAGGCTGTGAGGATGATTGGAGACCTGCTTAACGAACACAGCCTTATGTACACAGCGCTGACTGAGATGATCTATGACCAGTCAGATGTCAATGACAACGTGAGGTGAGGCCCTACATCCTATATTGTCTATTCAAAAGGCACATTGTTGGCACAATATATATGCTCACTTGAAAAATGGGTGGGTTCAAACAAAGGGTGGTATGTCCTGAGTTTTAACACATCTAGATGTGAATACCACAAAATCAAAGCTGAAATTCTGAACTCTTGTATCTCATAATCTTTTGAGCTTAAACCCAAATGTCTTCAGTGAACAACAAAAACAAAGGAATTTGCCTTAAAAAAAAAAAGCTTGTACCTGATGTTCTCAACACTTGACTAGTAGGTTAGTTACTAATGACACACAGCTGATAATAAATATTACTTTGTTACTAATTTAGCTAACGTTACATAAATAAAAAAATAGGACTCTTTACACATAGTGACAGAACAACAAAATGTAATTTAGGATTGAATGCTTTGGTAAAGAGCTGGGTTTTTAGTAGATTTTTGAAAGCCAGCCTGCTCTCTCTCTCACTCGCTCAGCTTCACACACAGGACACGCAGGGAGCTGCCAAGCGTCAAGTGCCACCATGCTCACAGTGTGCGAGTTAAAATCATAACTTGCGCAATGTGAATTGATATTGATGATTGTGTGATATTTTAGTGGGGGGGTTATTCATTACTACATTACTGCATTTAGCTGACATAATACCATTGGTACACAGGATAGTGTACTACTTTTTTCCAAATTAATGTGATTGTTCATAGGTCAAATATGGGTCTATATATATACAAATATTTCATATTATATATATATATTTAAAACAGTTTTGACATCACATACTACATACAAACAAGGCAACTATGTAGTTACATTTGTGCTCAATTCAATAACACTAAAAATGTGTTTTTGTTTTTAAGGTACTATGAAGTGACTGGTGGATCAGACCTTCTCCCTCAAGCTTTTCTCAAAGTCCTTAATGTCCCCATCCTCCTCAACTCCCCAGTTAAGAGCATCAGCCAGTTAGATAATGGAGTAAATGTATCGTACCAGACCTCAGATCCTAGCCAACAGCCCTCTTTTACTCACCTTCCAGCTGACATTGTCCTGATAACAACCACAGCGAAAGCAGCCCTCTTCATGGACTTCAATCCACCTCTATCCATCCAAAAGATGGATGCCCTAAGGGGGGTCCACTATGACAGCTCTACTAAAATCATCCTCACCTTCAGCGAGAAATTCTGGGAGAAGAACGGCCTCGGAGGAAAGAGCATCACTGACGGTCCCTCTCGTTACATCTACTACCCAAGCCACAGTTTCCCAAACAATAAGAGCATCGGCGTCCTCCTGGCTTCCTACACCTGGGCTGATGACTCCCTCCTCTTCCAAGGTGCGAGCGATGAAGCCCTGAAAGAGCTGGCTCTGAGAGATTTGTCAAAGATCCACGGCGACCATGTTAAGTCTCTTTGCACAGGGGTGGTGGTAAAGAAGTGGACCTTGGATCCTTACAGTTTGGGGGCCTTCGCCCTCTTCACGCCCTACCAACATTTAGAGTACGCTGAGGAGCTCTTCAGAAGTGAAGGCCGGGTGCACTTTGCTGGTGAACACACAGCCTTCCCTCATGCTTGGATTGAGGCGTCTATGAAATCTGCAATCAGGGCTGCTATCAACATTAACAATGTGGCGCTCAAAGACTCTAGACGCTAAATTTCCAAGAGGAGATGAGCTCTAGGGTCTGAAGAATTGATTTAGTATTATGGTATAAAATAAAAAGAATACCAAAAGTTGTAATATCTCTAGTTAATGCCACAGAAATCTAAGTTAAATACTACTTTAATTTGTAAACTTCAACTTTTAAGTGTACACAAAGAACAATTACATATTTCTAAACTAGATTGAAAAAAAATGATTCCAGTACTGTACATTAACAATACACTTTTTCCCCCTCTGCCCAACCACGAGCTACAGGCTACCGTCTTATCCAGTGCAGGGTTGTGTTATGACCTGGCTCAGAGGCCACAACAAATAGAGGAAACCACGCTTAAGGGATTACCAGAAAAGCAAAGTTACTTACACATAACTGTCACTACACTCAATACAAAGTCACCTGAACAGCACTTGCTCATCCCTCCTTCATCCTGCAGCCTCACATCTCATCCCTGCAACTGGTACATGGAAGCAATTTAAGAGTGAGATAGAGACACCACAATGAAGAAATATAGAACAATCACTGGCATGGGGCTCTGCAAAAAGCATCTGCAACAATGTTATCTCTGCCCTTTACATGATGTATATCTAAGTTGTTTGACTATCGCTCAGCTCTGCGGACATACAGACATTTTATTTTCTTCTGTACCGAGGCCAACTTTTCCTTGGCTAACTCTGTAGCAGAGTAAAGTCGTTGCTTGAAACCACTGAAGAAAATGCCAACGATGGACATGAACTGACCCAGAGCACGCACCACTGATTCTGACGTCAGCGTGCGAAAGGGATATGCTGCTGGGTATCTGGTGCTATTGCACATAACAGTTAAATACATCGCACCTGACCTTGAACGAGGGAGAAGGCCTACACAATCAATAATCAGGTGCTCGAATGGCTGACTCACAACAGGAATCAGATACAGGGGAGCCACTTTAATAGTTTGATTAGGCTAACCAGTTAACTGACAAGTGTGGCACGTTTTGATGTAGCACACGATCATACGTTTTACCAACACGATCATACGTTTTACCAACCCCCATGTGCCCCGACTCATCATGAGCAACACGCAGAACCACATCACAAAATTTGGAGGGCACGACAAACTAATAAACAGGATCTCCAACAAAACCCTCACCATGTGGCGCCCACTTCGGAACCAGTACGTCAATTTGTACAAAGTAACCATGTGCCTGATATTTCATCTCATCCACCCACAGACTGGAACAGCTCCTTCAGTGTTACATCGGCTCTTTGCTCACGTGCCAACTCACTATGGGAGACAGAAAGGGAGTGTAAGACAAAGACATTACAGACAACGCAGATGCCTCACCCTCTGAGTTTTCCACCACTACAGAATCTGCATTGTCAGTGGCCCGCTTCACACCGTAAGCCGTGAACACTTCAGGAAACTGCTTTTCGTTCTCATCAGGGCCATTACTACCAGCGGTACTGGGACCACCACTGGATGTACTGGACTACTCCAGTATCCATTTCCCCAGAAAACGGCAAAGCAGACGCCAGAACAAATGAATCAAATGCTCCCGTGTCCCGTAATACAGTCACTGGCATCCACTCATTATTTCCAATCAAAGACACACGTCCTTTTAAAATAAAATGCAAGTACAAGCTTAAGTCAGGCTTTCACACCAGAGCTGGTAACTCAACACTCGATTGGTCTGAAAACACTTTGGAAACTGGCGCCGCTAAAGCCACCGGCTTCACGAGTCACATCTTGCCTATTCCATGACGCCATACAGTCTCTTTTCCAGTGACCTTTTTTATGACAGCAATGACACTCGGAGTCACAGACTCCATTATCAACTCTCTGCTCCTGAGGAAAACCTCCACCTGACCGCCTAGAGAAATACATCCCTCCAGCAGGCACAGCGTCTCCACTAGCCAAGGCACGCGTGCATGCATCCACACCTCTACCTTTATGGGTCAACTAATAATCATCCGCTTTTTCATCCCCACGCACGCGCTTCCATCAGGCTGAACATACTCAGAGTTGACTGAACTTATTTTTATCAGCTTTTCTGAAACGGTAAACTCGGAGTTTGACAGTTTAGAGTTCGTCAACCCAGAGTTCAGGTTTACAATCAAAGTTTGTTGAACCTGCTTTCTGAAACAGGGCCCAGGAAGTTGACCCTGCAACAAAACACAGACAGAGACACACACACAAACACCCTGGCAGTGGCCACCAGAGCAAGAAAGAACCCAACCAGCCAATGGATTTGAATTCAAAGTGACAGCGGATTCATTTTTATGTATTTTCTTGCCTTGGTTTCCACCCCAATATTTCTGTGTTATACATAATAATTCAATGGTTGTGGCAGTGATCTTTGACTCTACCTAACCTCACAGAAATAAAACTACAACCATGACTAATGCCTGCCACGGACAAATTAAAGTGTTATGTTGGTGAGTTAAGTTCTTGTGAATAGCAAGAAACAGTCTAATGGTAAACACTTTGGATTATACACCAAAATGGTCTGGAATATGGTGTCTTGGGTTGCTGGATCTTTCTTGAAGGGTTTTGTATGTTTATTTACATGTGCTTTTATGGGTAGTGTGTGATTGTTTTACTTTAACAAATGAATCTTGTAATCTCAACTCAACTCTGTATTGCAGATTCGGATCCAGCTATTTTTAAACCCATGTTTGATTGGTGAAAGCAGCAATGTTAGTTTTTTCCTGAATAGATGATGTAAAATGATTAAAAATCTTTCATTTAAATATTCTTGTGTTGTCCCATCATTACTCTCTCAGATAATGAAATAAATCTCAGAAATTACACTGCATGAAAAGTGGGATTTTTTGTCAGCACTTAAAACTGTCAGGAACTGTTGGGAATTGATGTGGGCTTTGTCTGTCAGTGTTGCCCCCGTGACCTCCCTCTCCCCTAGGTGTAGTGCAGGCTTTCACATGTACGGTATTTCACAAAAGTGAGTACACCCCTCACATATTTGTAAATATCCAATTATATTATATTTATTTATAATTATCTTATATTTTATACAACACTTATATACAACACTGAAGAAATGACACTTTTCTACAGTGTAAAGTAGTGAGTGTACAGCTTGTATAACAGTGTAAATTTGCTGTCCCCTCAAAATAACACATCACACAGCCATTAATGTCTAAACCGCCGGCAACAAAAGTAAGAACAACCCTAAGTGAAAATGTTAAAATTGTGCCCAAACAGCCATTTTCCCTCCCCGGTGTCATGTGACTCGTTAGTGGGGTGGTGATGGCGCATTGATAAGATGCTTGTCTTTGGTGTGGGAGAACCGGGTTTGATTCCCACTGTGAGACATCCACCATTGTGTCCCTGAGCAAGACACTTAACCCCTCGTTGCTTGTGCGACCTCTGACATGGATAGCAATTGTAATTCGCTTTGGATAAAAGCGGGGAGCAGGTGTGTTAAATTTGGTGTTATTGCTCTCATACTGGTCACTGGAAGTTCAACATGGCACCCCATGAGAAAGAACTCTAAAAAAAACAATTTTTGCTCTGCATAAAGATGGCCTAGGCCAGCGATTCCCAAAGTGAGGTGTGGGTACCCCTTGGGGTGAATCTGCTTCCTCTAGGTGGAGCTTGACAGGAAAAATGTAATGGTGGTGGCGACGAGATCCAACTCCCAAATAGCCCTCGCCGCACCGAGAACCTCCCAAAACCGGGATAGAGGTGTAGAGACCGTGGTCACTAACAGCAGCCTCTCAAGAAGCTCCTCAGTCTGGTTCAAAGCCTGAAACAATCTGTCCACGGCCGTTCTTATCAGCGAAGGGAAGTGAGTTCTGTTATGGTGGTGTGGTGTGGGGACAGAGTGGACCCAAATGCAATCATCAGGTTTAACTGGTTTTATTAAGGAGAAAAAGGGTGAGGGATTGGAGTTGAGGGAGAGGTGGATGCCGAATAGCCCTCAGTCTGGTCCCTGATCCCCGGCCCGCTTGCGCAGCTAGCTACCAGCCTGTCCCTCGTGTTCCCCGGCCTGCAAGTGCCGCTACCCTTCAGCCGGCCCCCCATGACTGGTCGGCAGTCAGGCCGACCCCTGCTCCTCGCACCAAGGCCCTCAGCCCAGCAGTCCCATCCCTGAATCCCCCTGCTGCTGTCTCGCTGCCGGCCTCCAGCCCAACTCTCCGGCTTCTGGAGAGGTCTCGCCCTCATCCCAGTCGTCCCTTAGCCCGAACTCCGGAGAGGTTACTACTTAACCGACCTCCATGTTGACCCGCGGCTCGGCCCCCTGTGGAACTCAGCTCAGGCTCTCGAATTCCTGACCTTCCCAGTCTGGCCCTATTTCCTCAGTTCTGCCCTGCCTGACCCTCTCTCTAAGTCCCTTGTGTCTCGTCTTGTTTCGGACCCTGGACCCACACCAGCCGGACACCTGACCCCTCCCTTCGGGCTTCCCCCACGGTGTCCTCCCAGTTCTCCCGTGCCTCCTTTCTTCCTCTGCCCCAGTGTCCCCCGGCCCTCTGTTCTCCGTCCGCATCCACCTCTCCCTCAACTCCAATCCCTCACCCCTTTTATCCTTAATAAAAGCAGTTAAACCTGAGGATTGCATTTGGGTGACCTCTGTCCCCACACCACACCACCATAACACAGATACTTGTACTTTACTTTTTACTTCTACTTCACATCTCAGAGGGAAATATTGTACATTTATCAGACAGCTTTAGTTACTGGTTTACAAATTAAGAAGTTTACACACAAACACATGAAGAGTTCATATTTAGTGTATATATATATATATATATATATATATATAGTTATGAGTTAAACTCCCAACAGTTTATACATTATGAAAAAAATCAACACTCACTGAGTCTTACTGATGAGATATGAAGTAACTTACTATCATATTTTCATCTCAGTTCTGGTATAAAAAAAAATCTCAGTACTTGAAAATTGTTGACTCACCACAGGAGCTTTTATTTTGTTAATTCTTACCTTTTCTGGGCCATAAGAGTCAAACAACAGAGAATCCCTCAGTAATAATAGAGCCAGAACAGATCTAATTATTAACTGCAGCTTACAGCAGATACAAGCCAAACTACTGCAGGAAGCACATCAGCTTCTGTACGTTACAGTAAGGGAGGAAACATCAACGCTGACATGAGCTGAGGTGTAAAGGTCAAAGACATGTGAGCTAACAGACACATTAGAAAGTTCAATAACAAATCAAAGCTGCTCGTTCAGCCACTAAACGTCAGTGATTTCCTGTCGGAGCACAGCAGCATCCAGAGAGAGTAAAACAATGGAGCAGAAGATGGAGGAACAGCAGCACTCTGTTCTCTTTATTCTTCATCTTTATTGGTCTGTCTGCTTAATGAGCAGCAGGTGGCGCTCAAACACAGTCTGACTCTTCAACAAAACCTCTGGAAGCTCTGTTAGACTCTGAAGGACAGAGTGAAAGTCTGGAGGTTTCTTTTGACCCCAAACAGACTCAGAGGCCAAAGAGTGGGCTTTGTTTTCCACACGTGATGCAGTTCATTAGAAAACATGATATTTAATAAGTAATGTGAGAGTGAGAAGACGATAAAGAGGTTTTCCACCTTTGTAAATCAGCTTCCACCGCTTGTTTTGGTGCTGCTGCAGTTAGAAGTAGAAGTTAACGGTTTGTGACTGCAGGATCAAAACAGGACGTTTCACTTTCATCATGCTCCTTTGAAAACAACTTTTCTCTCTTTGATTTCTGATCAGCTCCGAAGTGAGGCTCTGTGGTGACAGCGGTGATGACATCATGGTAACCATCATCCAATCCGTCCTCAGCCTGGGAGGAGATCGCGTCACTGATCATTCCCTCTGGCTGGATGAAGCCCGATGCTCCTCATTTTACACATGATCCATGATTATATGGAAGATTTAGAAAAGGCAATGGCAAAAATAGCATGCCATGGTTCACTAAGAGGAGCCGAGCTCCCCCATAGTTTACACGCTGCTTGTACCACAGATAGTTGGTAAAAGAAGTTTAGCTATAGTTTAGTACAAGGCCAAAAAGACATTGGTGCATGACATCGCTAATGTTGGCTGGCACTAGCAACCTGCATAATTAACTAGTGGTTAATTATGCATAGGCCTATGTTAATAAAAAAATGATTATGCCAACACCCATGAAGTCACATTAAAATGACAACCTGTTTGATTGTAGCCTAAATAGGGATATGACTTTATATACAGTCCAGTTTCCCATTTTCTCCATCACACGTGTTCTATTTCTAAGTAATTCTGTCCCATCTCTAGATCTGCATCTCATCTCTGGCAATACGCCTCAGTTTCTCAGCTGGTGTTTGAGCCATTCTATTGATTTCTCAACCCTGCTACCATTAAAAAGGTTCAATTCTGAACTCTTGTCTCATGCTCATTTTTTGATCTTAAATCCAAATGTCTTCAGTGAACAACAAAAACAATGAATTTGCCTTACCATTCCAATACTTTTGGACTGTATAATGCTCTAAATAAAATGTGAAAAAAAGCAAGCTTTAACTAAATGTGCGTGTATAAAACCAAAGCCCTTCCCCTAACCCTGGGACGTCAGTGCGCATGTGCAGTGGCAGAAGAGGAACACGTGCTGAAGGGACGCAGCCTGTTGTGCAGAGTTGTCTGCACCTTGCAGGACATAAGGATTATTTATCACCATTGATACCACACACAGTATATTATATCATTTCTAAATAGCATAAAATAGACCTACGGGGAACCACAACATGCATGAAGTTGTCGGCTGCACGGCATGCAAACTCGTCACAAGACCGCTGAATGACAGGCGAGCAGAGAGGAAATGGTCAACAAAGCCTCAGTTTAGTTGGAAATTTACAGTGTAAAGTACACCAACTACTGATCAGAGACTGTATATATACACTCACCTAAAGGGTTATTATGAACACCTGTTCAATTTCTCAATAATGCAATTATCTAATCAACCAATCACATGGCAGTTGCTTCAATGCATTTAGGGGTGTGGTCCTGGTCAAGACAATCTCCTGAACTCCAAACTGAATGTCAGAATGGGAAAGAAAGGTGATTTAAGCAATTTTGAGCGTGGCATGGTTGTTGGTGCCAGACGGGTCACAATCTGCTCAGTTACTGGGATTTTCACGCACAACCATTTCTAGGGTTTACAAAGAATGGTGTGAAAAGGGAAAAACATCCAGTATGCGGCAGTCCTGTGGACGAAAATGCCTTGTTGATGCTAGAGGTCAGAGGAGAATGGGCCGACTGATTCAAGCTGATAGAAGAGCAACTTTGACTGAAATAACCACTTGTTACAACTGAGGTATGCAGAAAAGCATTTGTGAAGCCACAACACGCACAACCTTGAGGCGGATGGGCTACAACAGTAGAAGACCCCACCGGGTACCACTCATCTCCACAACAAATAGGAAAAAGAGGCTACAATTTGCAAGAGCTCACCAAAATTGACAGTTGAAGACTGGAAAAATGTTGCCTGGTCTGAGGAGTCTCGATTTCTGTTGAGACATTCAGATGGTAGAGTCAGAATTTGGTGTAAACAGAATGAGAACATGGATCCATCATGCCTTGTTACCACTGTGCAGGCTGCTGGTGGTGGTGTAATGGTGTGGGGGATGTTTTCTTGGCACACTTTAGGCCCCTTAGTGCCAATTGGGCATCGTTTAAATGCCACGGCCTACCTGAGCATTGTTTCTGACCATGTCCATCCCTTTATGGCCACCGTGTACCCATCCTCTGATGGCTACTTCCAGCAGGATAATGCACCATGTCACAAAGCTCCAATCATTTCAAATTGGTTTCTTGAACATGACAATGAGTTCACTGTACTAAAATGGCCCCCACAGTCACCAGATCTCAACCCAATAGAGCATCTTTGGGATGTGGTGAAACGGGAGCTTCGCGCCCTGGATGTGCATCCCACAAATCTCCATCAACTGCAAGATGCTATCCATCAATATGGGCCAACATTTCTAAAGAATGCTTTCAGCACCTTGTTGAATCAATGCCACGTAGAATTAAGGCAGTTCTGAAGGCAAAAGGGGGTCAAACACAGTATTAGTATGGTGTTCCTAATAATCCTTTAGGTGAGTGTATATATAAGCTGTATTTGTCTTTTTAATAAGGGATGCACCGCTTGTTCCGCCACAGAAATGAATCGTCCGAAAATGGTAACAAATAGCACTTTCGGTGTTCGGCCCAATAAGTCAAAAGACCTTTTGACTGTCAGCGACTTTATCCTGTCAGTTTGTCTCTTTACAAAGACAAGTATTGCAGTATGAGAGTCCTACCTGAAGAGAGGCTGTGAAGTCTTCATGTTACGTGAAACGAGAACCACATATAATATTATTTATCAAACTGGGTCAGACTTGATAAATGTAGCTCGAGGATACACGTGCGACATCTGGTTTTCAAAATAAGGCGTCTACACAGTATGAAAATAAGATTAACTGGATTATATTCACAGAAAGGCATGTAATCTACTTTACACTGAGTAAAAAGCACTTTGACTATATCATTTATGCAAAGGATAAAAAAAATTTGAATGTACAAATTTTCTCATTTTATTCAGTTTCTGCTTCGGCCAAGAATTTTCGTTTCGGTGCATCCCTACTTTTGAAGGTCAACTAGAAAATTGTCTGGGTCTGAGGTTACGCCAACTGATTTTTAGTGGAAATGGCAAATTTCCTTTTGAAGAAATAAAGACATTACAACAAACAGGTGTCTTTGTGATATTTATTAAAGTAAGAATAACAGAGTGATTCAGCTGAAGGGCAGAGCTCCTACACCAGAGGGCTGTTAGAGAGTCTGACCCAGAGAAACAGAGAAGACATTTAATGCTAGAGAATAATTGCGGAGTCCAACAGAAAAGCCTTTCTCAGCCTTGAGCCACAGTGGAAACTCCTTTCTCACAGGAAAGCATGAAACAAAATCTCACAGAAGGTTGTTATATCAAAACACTGGTACACTAAGTGGTACATAGGGATGAGCAAAGAACATAAGAATGACATATAGAGGATTAATAAAAGTACATAGAGGTAAAATATATTTGTTTCCATTACAGTTCCCCCTTTGGCCGATCCATTGTCACATTGAGTTTATAAAAAAAAAGTCAGTTCATCAATGAATGCTCTCATCTTACCGTTTAAGTAGACACATCATTAGTAAACAAAAGAAATTAGCTTCAGCTGTTTTTGTAGAACAGAGACATTCTTCAGTAGTGAGCAAGCTAGGGAATCAAAACATATTTAATTTAAGCAGTTTTGTCAAAATCAAAGTTGCCACAAGATTCGACAGATGCATAAATTTGAGCACCTTTGCCATTGTGTTGATCTGAAAACCTGTAACTAACTAGCACTGATTAATTGGAACACACATTTGGTTTGGTGAGCTCATCAAGCCTTGAACTTCATAGGTGCATCCAATCATGAGAAAACATATTTAAATTACAAGTTGTTGTTCTCTTTGACTCTCCTCTGAAGCGTGGCAACATGGGAGCCCCAAAACAACTCTCAAATGACCTGAAAACTAAGATTGTTCAACATTATGGTTTAGGGGAAGGCTACAAAAAGCCATCGCGAGCTGTCAGTGTCCGTAGTGAGAAAATGGAAGACCACAGGCACAGTTCTTGTTAAGGCCAGAAGTGGCAGCCCACAGACCACCTCCAAAGACCTACAACATCATCGTGCTGCAGATGGTGTCACTGTGCATCGTTCAACAATTCAGCGCACTTGGCACAAGGAGAAGCTGTACGGGAGAGTGATATGGAAGAAGCCTTTTCTGCACACACACGCCACAGACAGAGTCGCTTGAGGTATGCAAACGCACATTTGAACAAGCCAGCTTCATTTTGGAAGAAGGTGCTGTAGACTTATGAATGACACAGATTAAGTTATTTGGTCATAACATGAGTCGTTATGCATGGCGGCAAAAGAATACAGTGCGAGCAAGACAAACACTTGCTACCCACAGTAAAAATTGGTGGAGGTTCCATCATGCTGTGGGACTGTGTGGCCAGTGGCGGTACTGGGAGTCTAAAGTTCAGGGTCGCATGGATTCCACTCAATTATTATTATTAAAATTGTCATTTTAACCAGAACACAGGAAATTAAATGTTTAATGCTCAAACTGTTCATATAATTCAGTTTGATTTCTTTTAAAATAGTCTTAAAATCATGTCTCGTTCTAGTGAAGCCGATCTTGTGTCTTCTCATGTGACCCAAGTGTCTCGTCACACTACTAGGACCAATCGCAATGTTCACCCTCAGACTTTGAGGCGCATTCCCGGGAAGTCCACGAGGGCTTAAGGCTGTCCCGCTGTCAAATCGTCATGTGCGCGAGGGCTCTCGCTGACATTTTGAGCCTTTCTTAAACCCTTTTTGAGCCCTTTTCGTAAGTCCGCATTTCTGCAGACTCTGCGTGAGGGAACTGCCCAGTTTATAGCGGTATGACGCAAAACACGGGGGTTACCAGGGGAAGCCTGGAAGCAAAGTAAAATCACGTCAAATCCGCATAATAACAAAAGAAATATGGTGAACAAACAAGCATCAACACCAACGCTGTAGCCTACATAGAACACATGAAGTCAGAGGAAAGCAATCACCTTATTACACACAGTTTATTCAATTATTTAACCGACAATAGTGCATTAATTATTGACAAAGGTTTATTGACATTTACCTCTCCTCTACTCTGTAGGACAAGAACTGCAATACCTAAAAATCTAGCTACCACTCGAAATAAAAAGTGTGCAACATGTTTCAGCGTCATCAAGGTAACGTGATTATGGGGCAAAGGGCTGTCCCGTTCCTGTTTACAGAATTTTTGAGCCCTTGCATCCTGTTGCACTGAATCACTTTCGTCACAGCTGTACGGCTTCGGAAAGCCCAACCCGACCCGATAACATCTGCAATTATTCAGCACGACCCGAGCCCGACATCAACTTCAGCTGCCTGTCGCGCGCTTATTTTGGATATACGCACACATTGGCCTAAACACACTCCAATTTCTCACTGCTCTGCATGTTCAACGTCACGTGTATAGTAACGCACAAGTAGCCTATGTTCCTATTGCTTAGGCTATTTAGAATATATTCAATACAACCATGCTGAATAATACTAGTTTGTAAATTATTAGGTGCCGGAGCGCCTGAAACGTGCCATCCGCCTAATTATTAAGTTACTACCAAATAATTAATTAGGCCTATTTAAATGCAAGGCGTACCTGCACATTGTTTTAAAGGGTGATCAGAAACCATTATTAGCTACCAAACCTAATAGTAAATAAGGAAATCCATTAGACTTACCCTATCAGGCTAGATGAAGTCTCGGATTTTATTTGTGTAAGGGCGCTGTGACGGAGCGTACTTTAGAGGTGCTGAAGCGGCACGTCGGAACCCGACGGGCTTGCAGACCTCTAGTGTGAGCACGTTCATGATACTTTAGACCACCTGATGTAGTAAAGGCTTTCCCACACTGGTCACAGCCGTACGGCTTCTCACCTGTGTGAATGCGTAGATGCAACTTCAGATTACCTGATGTAGTAAAAGTTTTCCCACACTTTTCACACCAGTATGGTTTCTGTCCAGTGTGAAAGCGTCTGTGGACATTTAGATTAGCTACTGAAGCAAAAGCTTTCCCACACTGGTCACAGCTGTACGGCTTCTCTCCTGTATGAACGCGTTGATGCAACTTAAAATAACCTGATGAAGCAAAAGATTTCCCACACTGGTCACAGCTGTACGGCTTCTCTCCTGTGTGAATGCGTTGATGCAACTTTAGACAACCTAATGCAGTGAAAGCTTTCCCACACTGGTCACAGCCGTACGGCTTCTCTCCTGTGTGAATGCGTTGATGCAACTTCAGATTACCTGATGTAGTAAATGTTTTCCCACACTTTCCACACCAGTATGGTTTCTGTCCAGTGTGAATGAGTCTATGGATTTTTAGATAACCTTCTGTAGCAAACGCTTTCCCACACTGGTCACAGCCGTACGGCTTCTCTCCTGTGTGAGCGCGTTCATGATACTTTAGACCACCTGATGTAGTAAAAGTTTTCCCACACTTTTCACACCAGTATGGTTTCTGTCCAGTGTGAAAGCGTCTGTGGACATTTAGATAACCCACTGAAGCAAAAGATTTCCCACACTGGTCACAGCTGTACGGCTTCTCTCGTGTGTGAACGCGTTGATGCAACTTAAAATAACTTGATGAAGCAAAAGCTTTCCCACACTGGTCACAGCTGTACGGCTTCTCTCCTGTGTGAACGCGTTGATGCCCCTTTAGACAACCTAATGTGGTGAAAGCTTTCCCACACTGGTCACAGCTGTACGGCTTCTCTCCTGTGTGAACACGTTGATGCCCCTTTAGACAACCTAATGTGGCAAAAGCTTTCCCACACTGGTCACAGCTGTACGTTTCTTCACCAGTGTGAACTCGTTGGTGCACCTTTAGCCGATCTGATGCAATGAAAGCTTTCCCACACTGGTCACAGCTGTAAGGTTTCTCACCAGTATGAATGCGTCTGTGTTTAACCAGGGCACGTTTTGCAGTGAAGGCTTTCCCACACTGGTCACAACCGTACGGCTTCTCTCCAGTGTGAACACGTTGGTGGATTTTTAGGTCATGTGATCGAGTAAAAGTTTTCCCACACTGGTCACAGCCGTACGGCTTCTCTCCAGTGTGAACACGTTGGTGGATTTTTAGGTCATGTGATCGAGTAAAAGTTTTCCCACACTGGTCACAGCCGTACGGCTTCTCTCCAGAGTGAACACGTTGGTGCACCTTTAGGTAACTTGAGTCAGAGAAAGCTTTCCCACACTGGTCACACCAGTACGGCTTCACTCTAGTGTGAACACGTTGGTGCACCTTTAACTGATATGATTTAGCGAAAGCTTTACCACACTGGTCACAGCTATACGGTTTCTGTCCAGTGTGAACAAATCTGTGCTTAGCCAGGGCACCTTTTGTAGTGAAGGCTTTCCCACACTGGTCACAGCTGTAAGGTTTCTCTCCAGTGTGAACACGGTAGTGCTCCTTTAGCTGATCTGCTGCAGTGAAAGCTTTCCCACACTGGTCACAGCTGTACGGTTTCTCTCCAGTGTGAAGTAGTAGGTGTCTTTTTAGGCAACCTGATGCAGTGAAAGCTTTCCCACACTGGTCACAGCTGTACGGTTTCTCTCCACTGTGAATGAATCTGTGCTTAGCCAGGGCACCTTTTGTAGTGAAGGTTTTCTCACACTGGTCACAGCTGTGCATGTCTCCAGTGTGAACTCTCTGATGAATCTTTAAAGTTGAAGATCCTTTGAAGGATTTGTCACAGTGCTGACAGCTGTAAGGTTTCTCTCCAGTGTGAACACGCTGGTGCTCCCTTAGCCCATCTGATCCAGCAAAAGCTTTCCCACACTGGTCACAGCTGTATGGTTTCTCTCCAGTGTGAATGAATCTGTGCTTAGCCAGGGCACTCTTTGTAGTGACGGTTTTCCCACACTGGTCACAGCTGTACGGTTTCTCTCTAGCGTGAACACGTTGGTGCACCTTTAACCGATCTGATGTAATGAAAGCTTTCCCACACTGGTCACAGCTGTACGTTTTCTCTCCAGTGTGAATAAGTTGGTGTTTTTTTAGGTTACCTGATAAAGTGAAAGCTTTCCCACACTGGTCACAGCTGTACGGTTTCTCTCCAGTGTGAACTCTCTGATGAAGCTTTAAATTTCCAGATGTTTTGAAGGATTTGTCACAGTGCTGACATTGATGACGTTTGAGCCCATCTCTCCCTCTCTATATCAGACAGACAGACATACAGAGAAAAAGACAGTAAGGTGGAGCGAGCTATCTAGAACCATAAATTACATTTAGAGCATGTCTGTGGAACAAAACCCACAATGGTAAAGTTTGACTAATGCATTACCACTTGTGACAACCAACTGCAGGGGTGTCCACAGAGGGGCCTCGGGTGGCACGGACCTCTATAGGAATCAGACTGATCATCACAGATACCGACATTTCTTAATAATTGAGCCACATCCCATTAAGGAGTTGCATCATGGTTTAAAAAAACGGGTCCCGTGCTGTTGAAACTTGACCCATACAACAAACTAAGGCTGTATTTTAAACTGCCTACTATACTAGTAGTATGTACTGATTCGACCTAAATGTAGTATGGAAACAAAAGCTACATCTTCAGTGTGGCAAATATACCCAGATGGTAGGTCACATTTTAACGTTTATGCAAAGTCTACCAAGCTAATGTTTAATGTTGTTATGATTTGTAACTCAAATCAAGATGAGGACACAGATGCCCTGATCCGATGGTGGACTGGCAACGAAGCCACTTTTAGTGGGCGGCAGAAGGGATTTGAGTAAGTTTACGTTATATTTTTTTAAGTTACTTAACCAAACTTGCTTGCTAGGTAGAAATTTAAAGTAGGGCTATACATAATTATTTTTCAAATTAATCTTAATTATTTTTCGATTAATCTAACGACTTATTTTGTGTATTCTAAAAGGAAAATATTTTTTGCCAATTAATCAATATTTTATTCAATCATCCTGATAAAGCACCTTAGAACCTTAAAACTTTAAGTGTTTCTGAAAATGTATTTCTGTTGTTGAACTTGTTTCAATGGAGAGAAATAACTCAAATCATTCAAATTCACTTTATTGCGATGTTAACAGAACAAAGCTTCTCTCTCTGCTTTAGGCCTATTACCATGAATGTTTAGGTTAACAATGTTGCCAGAGCACAAATAAAGTGCTCTATTATAAACAAAAAATGATATAAATAATAATTGCATTATAAAAACTAAAGAAAGAGGAAAAACAAAATTAACAAAATTAAAGCTGCAAGCAGCGTTGGGCGGGCCCTCGCACTTGTAGCGCGTCCGCGCGTGACTCGGCCGAGTTGCATATTCTGGAGCTCTGCCGGTGCGGCTGTGAATGTGTTACGCGGTTATGACGCCGCATGAAGGTGTTATATGTCACTTCCTGTGTCCCCTATGTGGAGCTACATAGCACTTGCCGCTATGAATATAAATCGGTATTGGTGTGTAGATGTCTGCGGGGTGGGAGAGTTATCAAGCACGTAAAGTTTGTTTCAGATGTGAGCATGTACACTGAAGTTACAAGAACTTCCTGTGCCACGCCACGGACACGCCCATTGACGAAAATTTGCAAATAGCACAACTTATCGTCAATGCCTTTAGAAGGCACAGCACAAATTTGAAGTCGGTCGGACTAAATCCCTAGGAGGAGTTAGTTAAAGTACGGAGTGTGTAAATCATCCAAAAATAAAAGTAATAAAGTTCAATTCAAAATGGCTGACTTCCTGTTGAGTTTGGGATATGGGTTCTTGAGGCTTTTTTGTGTGTCTTAATAACATACACGCCCCCAGAAAAGTTTGTGCATGTAGGTTGAACGTGGCTGAGGGGCTAATTTTTTCTAATTTAGTAGGGGGCGCTAGCGAGCCATTTTGCCATGCCCATGCGCAAATAAAATACGAAATTTTTCACCACTTCTGACATGTGTGCAAAGTTTGGCGAGTTTGAGTATGTTTACATTTTCCAAGTAGCTTGCCTAACACTGCTGGTAGCTGTATTTTTATTACTACCTTTTTGTCCAACATCACGTACAAACTTAGACTGGTGTAGCATACAGCTCTGTCCTGTAGACTACAGACAGGTAAATCCTAAATTATTTTTCTGAGATCATATTTCTGGTAGTAAGTAATTCAGATAAATGGACATCAACAGCTTTCTTCAGATTCATTGGTGTTGAAGTGGAAAAGACGTGTGCAGCGTACTTTATTCGCTTTTACTCACTGTGTGTAAAAAGGTGTATGATGAAGAAATGCTAACAATATTAAAGAGATATAGAAAGAAACACAGCCGCAGTATTAGAACAGCGAGAAAAGGGCGTGGCAGACAACAGATGGGCCACTTAATAAGTAAGTAGCTAAAAGTATCACTGCTTTAAACTGAAGCTGTCATAATGTTACCATGAATGGTAACGTAATATTCCTCAAAACTAAGCAGTGGACGTTAATGTCACTCCGCAAACTTATTAATTAGAACCACGAGTCTATTCAATTTAATTTTTATTTATAGAGCAGCAATAGTAACTTTGTGTTTAAAGTGGTGGGGACATAAGGGCTCAGTTTTGGGGTGTGACGATACACCTTTTAACCATTTAACCCTATTTTGAAGTAAAATTTGATCCTGAGACATGTGAGTGGGGAGTTTGAGAGTCCTCCCCCAGACGTTTTCTGGAGAAGTGTTCTGCATCAATTTCTGGTGGAAATATATTTATATGAAAAGGAAGCAAAATTCAGCTGGCAGGTGATGTGTACATTCCACGTTTTATCTATTGGTCAATTTTGTGTGAAATGGTGTACTTGTTTAGTCAATATGGATAATAGAAAAGTAGTAAATTGTATGGTGCTCATAGAAAATACTGTATCATATTTGTAACTTGGACTGAGGCTGTAGTCCTACAGTCTGACAGCCAGTCTGGCAATGTAGTAAGTATTACCTGAAGGAATTGATGTCTGAACTGCACACACTTGAAAAAATTAACAAAATTAAATATCAATAAAACCCCGGCAGGGCGTGGATATAGATATGTGGATAAAAAGAGGAGGGAGGGAGGAAATTGGAAATCCAGCAACTAGAAAGAGAACTGATCAATACAAAGCACACTGTAAGCCTGACTGTAACGCAAGGTATTCATCTTTTTCTCTCAAGCTCGCAGCAGATGATCCCAGGGAGAGAAGAAAACTCACAAAACATTGTGGTGTGCTCTCCCTGTTGTTTCATGAATAAACAGTGCACAATGTAGCCTCCTTATTGAAGTGGGACTATAATTTAGGACTACTATACAATTATGAAACTTAATGAAAAAATAAACTATCTATCGATATATCTATATATATATATATCTATATCTCTATATCTATCTATATCTATATATCTATATATATATATATCTATATATCTATATATTTCAGGGTGCCACTCAAAGGGGGGGGGGGGTCATTACATTAAGTGGCAACCTAATATAAATGCTGCCTTATTGCTGTGCCCGTGTTACTTTCTTTTATTTATAGTTTTTCTTTACATGGGCTTTAATTCCACGTAAACCTACTCGCTGATGCTCATTGTGTGCAAAGTATGGTGCACACATCTTCTCCAATTATGAAACCTAATAACCACAAACTGCTAATATGCAAAGCACATATATAAGAACATGGAACAAAAGGAAATTATGCAGATAATGCACCAGGGTTAACTCGGCCTGTCCGTTAGCCTGGTCTGGAGCAGGCTAGCTGCCATGGTAACTTATGTGCTACTGCTTATGTGAAACCGAGTCACGGTTTATTTCAGCCAGGATATCTGGACATCTGCTATCTTTTGTGAAACAGCCAAAAGGCCCAGTGGAGGAACATCACATAGGCCAAACCTCAAAAGAGGATGTGTTGAAAAGCTGAGCACCAGTGGAGGAAAACTAAACTCCAGACAGACTCTGATCTCCACAGATACTATTTAGAGCAGAAACCTGCACGACGATCATTCAGAGAATAATAACGCAGGCAGACTGTTTGTCACTGTGATAAACTCACCAACACACGAGGAAATATAATGACTCTGCTTCACTTTTCACCAGCATTGTTTCTGCTGCGCGCTCCCGACACAACACGGGCTGCACCGCGCATGCGCCGCGCGGGAAAACCCACAGAACAAAGAAAAGAGAAACGCCATTTTGAAGAGAGGAAACTGAAAGAAAACTCACAATGTTTCTTTCAGCTTCCTCTCTTCAAGATGAAAACAGGAACCACGGAGACACTTTGGAAATCAAACCACCTCAACACAAACCCTGGAGCGGGTTTTCAGGCTCTGATCTCTAACAACAGAATGAACGGATGATACACGGACCCTCGAGACTCTTCCTCGTGTCTTTAGTCTCGTGATGAAGTCATGAACACTGACCTGAACATCGGTGCTATCAGAGCACGAGGCTGCTGTTTGGCTCCTGCGGTCCGGGTTCTGGTTCTCCATCGTCCTGCAGGTCTCCGCTGTGACTGGTGGGCCGTGTTGTCCTGGACTGAGTCTGGATTCTGGTCTCGGAGGTCTTCAGGCTGAGAAACAGGAGCGCTGCGGGATCCCGCGGAGTGTTCTCGCGATGTCACGGCGTCTCGCCCCGCCCCTTAGTTACTGTCGCTAAGGCAGCAGATTCACAGCCTGTTTGAAACAAAGTAGCTTCTTCTTTTGTAGCCTTCTGTGATGGGCTGTGATTTCTACAATTTATGGTGTGACAAAAATAAATAAAAGGCTGTTATTACATCTGTTATTATTTATACACACGTGTAGAGGCTGCATGTAGATTTATACAGGAAGTGAGTGAGAAGGTTAAATAAGATCACGACAGTCTTGATGCTCTGTCCATATTCTCGAGCTCACAGGAAGGTTTTCTCTCCTGAGAAGGTCAGAAAGAGAGGAGGGGGTGCAGAAGCAGACCAGACACCAAACCAAGCTTCAGTATTAGTGGACGTGTGTCACTAGATCTGGTCGATTCGGTTCCCGGATCGAATGTTGGCACAAAACTTCACGTTCTTCCTACGACATTAATTAAACCTGGTGTACCAAGTAATGCACTTTTGATTCTGCACTGCAAGATTTAAATAAAATAGATAATTATGAAATTATAATGAAAGCACATTATTTCCAGTCATTCAACAGTTCTTGTTCAGCTCTTCCTTCTGTGTCACCTGATCTTTACTATGTCATACATTGTAGTTTTGAGAGTCTTGAGTCATGAGTTACAAAACAAAAACTATCTAAAGTTTTATCTGAGAGGAGACATACTGGTGATTGTGTATAACTACAGATTACATTGAGTTCTGAGGACACCAGTTATCAGTCCAGACCCATAACACAGGTAATCCAGCTGTATCTGTTTATCCTAAATTAAACACTAAATATTGCAGCATAGTGTGACACAGTTTTTGTATTGGCTGGTGTGTATCTGACAGTACTTGTAGGGAAGATAAATAAATCTTTAATTCATTCCTGAAACACTTCAACATGGGTTTTTGCTTCTTCCATTTGCACACGTGAATATGATATTTTCCCATAATTATAATGTTGACCATCTCACATATTTCCTTAGACAGGTTATCAAAATTATTTATGTTCTTTATCCTGACATTAAGCCAGTCTTTCACGTTTTGATGTTCATTAGTTTCTGTCTCTTCCAGACAGAAACAGCAGAGGTCAACTTCAAATCTGAATCTTCTTCTCAGTGTTTCTGCGGCTGGATAATAACCATTAATAATTTTAAATTGCATTTATTTTATTTTTAGAGAAATCAGCCATTTCAGGTATTTTAAATATTTATCTATGATTAGTAATTTATTATCTATTTTTTTAATATTTGCTTTTTTTGCATAATCATGAAAACATTTAAGAGTGAAGGCTTTGCGAATAGATTTATTGTTGCACTTCCTATCGCTGATTTGCATTTGTCCGATCTTTAAATCTGGCAAGACTACTTGTACGTTTGATTGATTTTTTTATTTTTTTTTAAATTGCTTATTGTTTAATTTCGTGTTTGAACCATTCCCATTTATTCATACTTGACATATCAAGCTCATCAGGTGAATCTCTGGATGGAATAAGTCCTGAAATCAAAGGTAACCTCCTCACCTGTGACAGAGATCCAGCTGGATGGAGACTCTCCACGACCTCTGATGTTACACTTGTAGAGGCCTTCATCAGACTTGTTAACATGGTGGATGGTCATGTGACCTGTAGGCTCAGTCCTGATGAGGGAGCCATCTTTATAGAAACCAGCTGGGAGGTTGGAGGGAGGGGTCTCTGTTTTACAGTGCAGAGTGACATCATGTCCCTCCATCACAGGGAGGACAGGACTCTGCAGGATCACTGGTCCACCTCAACACAGAGACAAACTACAGCATTTCATCATTTACACACAGCTTCATCAACACTAACTCCACAGTCTGATCTTACCAGTGACAGTGATGTTGATGGTGTTACTGGTTGCTCCCTCTCTGGACTCAAACCAGTAAACTCCACTGTCCCATGGGAAGATGTAGCTGATGTTACAGGAAGAACCAGCTGATCTTCCCCAGTCAGCTCCACACTGAGTCCTGGTTCCTCTGGTTGTGTTCCTCCTCAGCGTCCATCCAGCAGAGCTGTCGTCCTCCTCACAGCTCAGAGAGACAGACTCTCCTTCAAACAGCTGAGAGCTGCTGGGACTCACAGTCAGAGAGGCTGGAGGGTTGACATGACACACTGATGATCTTTAGCACGTTTGTCCAAACTAAATAACCCTTTAAGTGCAACAAAGGAGAAACCCTGAAACCAAAACCTGAACCTGAAGCAGCCTCTGTGATGGTTTCATTACAGCTCGTTCCTTCATTTGCAGACAGTAAAGACTCAAAGATGTTTCATGTTGTAAATCACAGCCTCAGGTTTAAATATGTTCTCTGAGTTCTCGAGCAGTGGAAACATGTTTATGTCTCAAAAACAACTTCAGAAACATCATGAACCAACGCTGCTTCCTAAAACTTACATTCAGGCAGCGCTGATGTGAAACAATAGTTTGGTTGTTTTTCAGCAGCTCTCAGTAAAGATGGCAGGTAGATAAACATATTTATCGGCCAAAACTCAAACCAGCGCTGCTCTCAGTTAATGCGCGCACAAAGTTGTGATGTGCTTCATGTGTTTCCCAGGTCTGGACACTGACCATCGATGGGAAACTGTTTTCCAGCTTAAAATTAAGGTTGCGACAGTGTAATCACAGAGGTGTCATTTACACTGGGGACATGTCCTCACCACTTGTTGGAAGCATTTGCTAAAGGTTTTCTGAAAATTAGCTCTCAACGTGAAATGTTAGGTTAAATAACTAATACAGATTCTGTGAGAACTACTTGCTCAATAGAAAAGCATGAAATGCAACGTAAATCTAGAAGAAACAGATCTGCCTTGTCCAACTAAAAACAAGCTGCTGATTACTGCATTATATTCAATAATATTTTTATATTCTGATTTGTCACCGGCCACATGCATTTTGTTTCCCTTCCCTTAGGCTATCCTGGGACATGAAGCTAATCTGCACAGACAGCTGTTTAATTCACACAAATATCCCCCTGTATATTATTATTTTATTTTTTTAATTAATTTTTTTTGGGGGGGCGTCTGTTGGTTGGCTCGGGGTCTTCCGCGTTTGCATCGCGGTGCATCTGGGAGTCTTATTTTTTTGTTTTGATTTATTTATTTATTTCTCCCACCCCTATTGGCTACTGTGGTTCTTGCCTGCCTGTTGCTGGGGTAGGTGTGGCTCTCTCACTAATCACTACATTTTTAACAGGCTTATGCGCACACACATTCACCCACACACACACAGACACACACAGTCTCACACATAGACACAAACAAATTTAGGTTGGGGTTAGGTTGGGGCTGGAGCCAATCCCAGCTGGCATCGAGCGCAAGGCGGGGTACACGCTGGACAGGTCGCCAGTGTTCGCAGTGCACCATTGTTATCAAAAATTAAACTGTTTCAGCTGCTGCGGGAAGTACATCCTCTGCTGGGCTTTCTTTTTTAAATTAAATTTTGCATGTATGTCACACACATACAATATTAACAAACAATTAAATATGCGCCGGGGTGTTCGAATACAGGCAAGCGAACCTTCTCACCTCACAGCAAGAAGGTTAAGGGTTCGAACCTTGGTCATCTTGGGCCTTTCTGTGTGGAGTTTGCATGTTCATCCCGTGTCTTCCTGGGTTCTCTTGGAGTGCTCTGGCTTCCTCCCACAGTCCAAAGACATGCATAGCTTAATTTGTGCCTTTAAATTGCCCTTAGGTGTGAATGTTTGTGTGAATGTTTGTGACAGCCTTGTGATGAACATGTGATGAACTGGCAACTTGTCCATGCTGTACCACTCATACATGTTTTGGGGATACATCGATTTTTCTCCAAGATAAAGCTATAATGGCCTGCAGTCAGAAGCGGCTTCATGTTGACAGAAACTGGACCAACAGGTCTGAAAAACATGAGAAAACTGATGCTCCTCCTCTTTTCTGAGAAGTGATATGTGGGCTTTCTGGACTCATTTCAGAGAGCTGCTTTAACCAAGTCTGAACTTGAACTCTGAGCTGATAAACTCCGAAGTCTCAAATTGACATGTGTGTGCAGACAATACACTCATATCTTTAAAAATAAAGGAACAAAGCAGTGAAAGGGTGAGAGTTGGAATGGGGCAGATTTTGGACCTTTTATTCAGCATGTTCAACATTTCCTGGATTTCTAAAACAGGTCATAAATTCACAGGAAAGTACTCTATATTGTAAAAGTCCACAGTAAAATAAATGTACGCACAATGTACACCGATCAGCCATAACATTATGACCACAGACAGGTGAAGTGAATAACACTGATTATCTTGTTACCGTGGCACATGTGGGTGGGTGGGATATATTAGGCAGCAAAGTGATCATTTTGTCCATATAGTTGATGTGTTAGGAGCAGGAAAAATGGGCAAGCATAAAGATTCGAGCCACATTGACAAGGGCCAATTTGTGATGGCTAGACGACTGGTTCAGAGCATCTCAACACTGCAGTTCTTGTGTGATGTTCTCGGTCTGCAGTGGTCAGTACCAAAAGTGGTCCTAGGAAGAAAAAGGGGTGAACTGGTGACAGGATCATGGTTGGCCAAGGCTCGGTGATGTGTGTTCAACATTTCCTGGATTTCTTTAACCGATAATGAAGTACCAGGACTGTAAAAAGTACAGTTAATAAATCCTCTAGTGTCCTGCATTTGGGTCCCAAACCTCTCTCATGCACATCAAAACCCCCAACAGAATGATCCAGCCACATATGGACATAGCAGACACAATATCTGATGAACTTCATAAACTTTGTATGAACTGGCTAGAGCTTAGAAGCATGCAGCTATGATAGCCATAAGGTAGCTATAGTGGCTATGGCCCAGAGAATTGTGGATTCAAAGCCTGGTTTAGAGACTCAATTCTGGAGTGGATTGTGAGTTTCATCCACACCTCTGCCCCTCAGCCTGTACTGTCCTCATTGGCTCCTCAACCTGTTAGCCATCAATCAGCAAAGAGGTTGCCAGCTAGCGTCAGGCCTCCTGATCTCGGCCTATTAGTTGCCTGCTGGAGCCTTGCCCTTTGCTGTATGCTAGCTAGTGGCCACCTGCCTGACC